TAGACGGAAGGCAAAATGACCTTTACGCGTGCGTGTCTTTCTTCAAGCAAAACGAGATCATAAATCTTCATAAATATTGCATAAAACGCCGCTGCTACGCGCGCGACCTCAGAGAAAGGCTCGAGAAAATCTGCGTTTGGATAGGTTTAAAAAATTCCCGCATCTGTTCCGAACGAAAATTTCGGTCCGCGGTATTCGCGTGAAGCACGATGAAGTACACGTGCCATGCCTTTTTACAATCGAATTCAAGCCTTACGTTGAAATTACGAATTCAATAACGTCGAGTGAATACGCTGCTACCGGGGCAGCATAGCGAGAGGAATTTCTTCTGTCGCTGTGGAACGAAACCCGGAAAGAGTCCAAACGAATTAAAATAACGAAACGTTCGCCTATCTCTTACAAATTACGTCGGAGAATGGGATAGCTTAATTAGATTCGGCCTTCCTCCATCGCGTCTCTACCCTTGTTCGTTCCGTGCACGTATAAAAAGAACCTGTTAAAACGCTGTAAAGGAGCACCGCAAATGAATGACGGAACGCCGAGATACGCGCCCAAAGGAAAGAATGCGATCTACATTCCACGTGTTACGATGTTGTAACCGAGGCATAAACTCATAAGATGCCCATAAGATGAGGAAAAAACGAGCGATGCATCCAGACGAAGGGTCTTCTTGTGAAAAAGTCAAAGTGTTATCCTTCCGATCTACAAAAGTGGAAGATATTGGAAAACAAATAATAAATTTTGAAAAAGTTCTTTTCAGCAATTAGTGCATTAGTGCATTAGACCCGTATCTTCCACGCATAAAATATATAGCTGCGAAAAATTGTAGATAACAAATCGTTGCTTATTACAGAAAGTTCTGAGCGCGTACTTTAATTACGAACAACACCAACAGTCGCTGATGAAAATTATTGTTCTCTGAAAGATTTTGGAAACGACGAGCTCGTGGGCTACCAGCATAGAGGATAATAATAGGTTACCGGTTCGTTTCGTCCCAGCTCGTTAACATTTTCAAAGTGTGCACGGTGCTTTGCGAAGAGCCCGAAACCATGGTATCGTCGAAAAAGGATCAAATACGCGGTTTTTATTACAGTTTGAAACTGAAATTGTAGTCGGCGGTGAGGTCCTTTAATCTACATTTAACGGCATGTAATTACACGTGCATATGACGCGTCCGTTTCAAGCTCGAACGTTTTAAAGTGCGATTTGGGTTTTGCCAGTTTAAACGGAGAAAATCGACTTGGATTATGCATCGCATAGTTCGCATAGATTTTATGATACAGGGCAAAATAATTGTATCGCAAGTACCTTGCATTACCTTTCAAATATCTGGAAAGAATTAATAAAATGTCACCATTGTGTCTAAGTACTTTTACTAATATCTTTGAAGTCGTAAGAGATATCGAACAATTTTTAAATACAAAATTTAATGGTTTATCGATGTTATAAAATCCTAAAAATTATTATATTTTGTATTTAAAATTTTTTCAATATTTCTTACAGTTTCTGAAATATTATCTCGCAACACTAGAACTTCCAGGGATTTCAATGCGCGGGAAAATCTTCACGTGTTTTTTATAGTTTAAGTAATTGCGAGCCAAATTATCAAATTAATGTAAAACATAATTCACTTCTATGTGTCCGTGATTGTCAATGATTGAGATATCGTCTGTCAACCGACACGAAAATAGTTGTATTGAAAGCACAATGGAACAAATATTCATGAATTAATTTGAAATATTTCATAGCGAGGTATCGAGTTTATTTGCGACAAAATAAAACGTTTATTAACAAGGGAGAAATATAATTTATCGAATCCAAACACTATCCGACCACCTCGATCGGATTAAATACAAATTCTGGTAGTTAAATTACGTTCGTTCTATTGGCTTTCGTACAGTTCCACCGACGAATAAAAAGTTTTCTCATTCCTGATGCAAAATACTAGCCACTTTTAAATTCAATAAACTCTTTTGAATATATTTTCCATACTTTCTTGGTAAACCAGTCGTACTTCTTTAAAGAAGTTGTCCAAACTTCGAAACAAATAGTAATCCGTGCAAAACAGATTTGATATAAGGACCTACGTTTACTTTTGCATTCGCGGAACTTTCCGAACGTATTTTCCATACTTTCTTGTCTGACCAGTCATCTTTCTTCGATGAATTTGAAGAAATTGTAAATACTTGGATTATTACGTCCATTCGGAATAGTCCACGAATCAAATACGTATAAATATCTGCAAGAACGTTTGCATCGATTCGACGAATCGAAGATGTTAGCCGAACGAAACCACGTAACGTTCATCTTCCACATAGAGTCAACAGTCTGTCCTAAACTTGAGTACAGATTTGTTTGCGCGAACTGATGAAACCTGTCGTCGCGGTCTTGCGATAAACATCGCGATAGATTGTTCGCTTACTGATAAAACTCGTGTACCTATGCTCTACTAATGGTACTCGCATGCTTGCAATTCAATTCAGGCCAAAAGTTGGTCAACAGAGCATTCTTTCAACGACCGCATCGCCACAACTGCGGCCGATCTCATCGTTTGTCTCCTCGTTTGACGCGGTGTACATTCGGAATTTCGAGTTCTCGTGCATCGAACGTTCGTCGACAATGAATGCATGTTTGAAATGACGGAGAACGCGGGAACTCCTACAGGATTCGTGCAACTCCGACGAAGACTCGTTCCCGGAGGAGGATGCTCAGACATTCCGGTCGGCGTTTCAGCGAACGAGACGATTCGACTACTGTTTCAAACAAGGAAGAAGGGAAGAGGTCTAAAAGACACTTTGCCCGGTCTAATAGAGTTCCTGTCAGAGGTACCGATCGCTATACCCTTGATTTTCACTTCTGTTCGCAATAGATTTCAATTTATAAAAAAACTTGAAGCGCCTCCTTCGCGTTGCTGGCCATATCTATTTCCGTGATTGAGACGCGGTATGAAACTATTTGGTATGTCCCTTTGATCATTCCAACCGTAGTCATAGTTACTACATACCATCGGTAAATTCCATGGAGTTTCACGGTAATAGAAACTGGATATTTACTCGAGTCCGATAATGAACACGCGCGCGGTTAGTGTTCGAAAGGTGCGTCGAGCAACAGCTAAAATAATGAAAACAAAACGCATCCACGCCGTCTCATTTGACAAATGGCGGGCACGTACGTTTTTCCCGTAATTCGAAGTAAAATGTGGCGTGCATGTAAAAGAACGGCGGATATGTAAAACATCGATTCGCGTTACCTCGGCCCCGCTATTTCACCCTATTCTGGAATACATACACTCAGGGATATATATATTTTCTGGCAGAACACCAAATTCTCCACTCTCGAATTACCTTTTCCACCAACTGGCCGTTTTCGGCGAAGTCACGGACCACCGTCGTACCTTCCCTACGTCTCCTCGCGAGAGCCGAATACGTGGGAGGCAACGAATTGCTTGCAAAAAGCTTCGGTACCCTTGTTCTTTAATGCACCACTTTTATGGCGGAGAAGTTGGACATGAAATGTAGAAGGAAAGATAAAAGTGGAGGGCACGTGGTTGGACACGTTAGCAAATGTAATGGAGTGCAAACAAGCACGGAAGTAGATAATTGTGCGCAATTAAAGGTGCCACCCCAGTTGCCACCTCGAACCAGAAAAACAACTCGAAAGTCTCAACGGACCATTTACTCTTGCATAAGATTTTATTGTTCACGTAAATCAAAAGATTCGCGCTAGGATAAAACCCAGGTATGAACTTTTTTCCTAACAAGAAAATAACGATGGCTGCGTTATGAGAGCTGTACGCTCCGTTATTAGCGTGCAGCACGAATCGCTGCTGTTCTAAAATCGTTTCTGTTGTCTTCCTATCAGTAGCAAAATGTCTCTACGAGGTTTTCCTTGTAAACGTAACGTAGACATTCGGAAAACACGCGAAGCGTGTTGCATCGCTGTGAAATGTCGAAATGTAAGTGGTTTCCAGTGTAAGGTTCCTAATTTGATCCTTCTTTCTTCCTCCCTTAGATCGGTCAGGTAAGAAAAATTGCATCAAACCGCGAAACGAATTCGTACGTGTAAAAAAGTACTTTGAATTCAGAATGTTTTCCCGCCGTCTCGTATCGTAAATAATTTTCAAATAATTTTCAAATTATGTAGACGAGAAGTGGAAATTTAATGTTTACGTATTACATATCCTCGTGCAACGTAGAATATTCAGTCTATTATTGGAATCATTATTAACATTATTGTTTCGGAAAATGTTGGTTAACGAACACGCTTTGATAATTTACACTTCTCAGCTATAGCGCAATATATTTAACATTTACTACAGGCTTAAATAATTAAATCTCGTCCTGCCTTTGTGCACCTGTCCTCAAGTTTCTTCCGTCTATGGTACTGTGATATTGTTTCGTAAATAATCCTACCGCTATAGAGACACGATAATACCCTATTTCCGTTGAAAATCCCATATATTAGAACGGCCTACCTTCGATTGATTCCACGGTTCGTTACGCGTAATTACTTCTACATATCAACGTCAATATTAATTTCAATGAAGTGTAACTAACAAGGCAACCATTCTTCGACTAATCGCCTCGCTCGTTACACATAATTATCTTATACTGCAATGTTAATATTAATTCCAATTATAGATTAGATATCCCGCGTACTATGAGAATATATAACGAATAAAATTTGAATACCACTAATAAGAGTAAGTTTTGTTTAAATCTGTATGATAACCATTTCTGCCGCCTGTTCGTTCGACTTTGAGAAATCATTCGAAATGCCTGTACAGAACATCTCGAAGACCGCAAGTTTCCCCATCCTTGACACTCGATTCAAGTATTCGATAATCTTCGAAACAACTTGGCTAGAAACACAGTCGGACAGAAGGTCGCACTCCACCAATTGTTCTGAATAAGATTGGACAGAAACTGTGCCAACGAAGGCGAGAAAGAGAGAGAGAGAAAGAGAGAGAGAGAGAGATAAAGAAACAAACAGGCACTTACCATCAGTAACTTTACTTTGTTAACCAAAGGGGATGTCGTAAGGAACTTGTTGACGGCCGTCAATATTTTCCCTTCCAACGTGGCAGCGTTTCCGGCGTCTCGTTCTTGCGAACATCCGGGCCCGATGTCCGCTTCTCCGGGGCTGGGCAACAACCCCCGGCAGTCTCGCGGGAAATCCCTCTTCTTCAGTCTCCCCGCGGGCCCTCGTGGCTCCTTCTCCCTTCCTGTTGTCGCTCCCTCGACGATCACGCTTCGCGCGCGTTCCTCCTATCCGCAATGAACGCGATTACCCAATTTTATTCCGGCAACCCCTCTGGATGTCTGTTGCCGCGGGACGGTTGATCGCGTATCCTCCAGGGGCACGAACTCGCTCCAAGTAACAAATGATTTCGGAGAAGTCGAAGGTCTCGTCGGGTAAACGCGAGCGAACCACAAACACTCAAGAATGTTTACCGAGAGACCGTCGTGATTATTTGATCGCTGTTATCGTGTACTTTCCGATGTGAATGAAAGATCAGACGTCGATGAATACCATTTGAATTCAACGAAACGATGACTTCCAAATTACTTATCCCTCCAATTGTTTCGAACGACGCTAGATCGGATCGAGCGCGTCCATTTCTTTTTTTTTTGCCCTTAACGAACGGCCTCGACTTGATACCGCGAGGTCTAAGGATCGGTGGCTGTCGAAAGGTCCTCAAGGTCCCGGCGGTGCCGCGTTCTCGACATGGACTGAAGTCCGGAGCAGGCCGATGGATGCTGCGAGTTGCTCCAGAGGCAGAAGAACGCGCGCGCGAGAGAAAGCCGCGCGTGTCGAAGAGGGAAAGAGACAACGCTAGAGGAGGGGAACGGTGAACGAGCGAGGGTGAGAGAAGCGGTCACGAGGTAGGGGTTGATACGTGGAAATCGTGAGAGTGGGGGAGGGTGAGAGTATCTATCGAGAGAGGGAGCGAGGGAAAGGAGGGTTCAACGAGGGAAGAGTTTCAACGAACGCCACTAGTTGCTGGCAACCCTTGGATGTTTACGTCCATGACGTTCAAGCTTGGTTGCCGATTACTCTTACCGATACGCTAACATTTTCTTCGGCAACCAAAGTCCTTCAAAGAAGGGTCATTTGGGCCATTGAATGATTCGATTTCTTCTTACTTTTACCAGTATACGTATTCGAGAGCCTTATCCAGAAGTTTATCGTAATTTCTCAATTCGAGCAAATGTCGCGTCGATGGAAGAATTGGCTTTTATTTGCGATCAAAATTCTTCCAAAGTTGCATCGATCGAAACACGTGGTAGTTGTACTTTTGTCTAGCAGCCGTCGATACGTTGCAGTCTCGCACTCTTGAAGCGAAAAGAATTTGCTTTATTTCGGTATGCAAGTATGTCATCGCTAATTGTGTATCCGCGCCAAATATTAATTATGAATTAACGATAGTACGAAGTACTTATCGTACACTATGTTCTTTACAACGTATCCATTTAATTTTATTCCATTTCGAGTTGGTCGTCACATTCGTTAATCAAATTTTACTGAAACAATAATGTTAATGTTGATTTTAATTATCGATCGAATACTCTGCCTACCATGAGGATGTGTGATAAATGAAGTTTAAGTTTCCAGCAACAGTGCTGTTTCGATTAAACTCGAATGATAACCATTTCCACTCCTGGTCTACTTAATTTTGCCCATCAATTTTGAGTGTGCGATTGCGATCCTCTTCCATTAACAAACAATTTTTTGAACTTCCGTTAAAATTACATTTGGAAATTGAAGATATATCGTTCAATTATATGTATAGTATATCGCGACAGTAATATATTATAGCTTTATACATTCAGGAGAATTGGTCCGCGTTTCGAAAGGGTTCGTGGCATCCTGTTTGGTTTGCCTTTTGTTCACTTTGACGATCAAAAATCCAACGAAAAAACGAAACAATGGTGCGCGGGAACGATGCAACCTCATTGTTTCAACGTTCTATCGTGAATGCCAGATGACAAAGGACACGTCACGTGCGACGAAGTTTCTTGAGAGATCATATCACATTTTTTTCATGAAACTGAATCATTGAAGTGTTATGGTAAATGATGTTACGCCGTCCGCGCAGTTGATACGATAGGTCGATGACAAGCATTTAAATTTAAATGCGAGGGGACGAATGATACAGGTGCGAGCATCGGTTGCATCATCGGTAACACTTCATTACGATATATCACTGCACGAGTAATCTAGGTAACTCGCATCGAATCAAAATTCAATTTGACCGATGCGTTTAACATAACGGACTGTAACAAAATTTTATTTGAAATTTGGTTTATCTCCGCGGTAGATGTTTCCAAAGACGTGAAGCGGTTGAACCGAATAGTCTCGAAGGTCTAAATACGTGGTAAAAGGGTAGATACTTGAAACGAATTCGTAAAATAATATTGATCTTTTGAAATAAAATGGATACGTCAAGTTGCTGATTACGAGCAGCGAAGCGGGATCCTTACCTTAACTTTCGATGAAACTTTATATCTTCCGAAAGCGGTACCTTAAAGTCTTCTCACCGTGTTAAGATGTAAATGATCTCGAGACCATTTATGTCACCGTCGAGATTCTTGAGAAATAATGGCCTCGCCGGACATTTCCCCTCCCTTATGCAAAACTGTTCGTTATCACGCGATTCGCGTTGAATTTCTTTAAAGAAACGTTAAGTGATTTGCACGGTATTCGTAACGATTAAACGATAGATTCAATTCTGCAATTGTTTTATTCAAAAACCATAAACAATTAGTAAGAACCGAGTAAATAATAGTATTGGATGATAAATATTACTACCAGTACAATATTTAATTTTAAAGACAACGAAACGAGTTCATGTCATTCAATTAAGTATTAAAGTTTGTCCGGCTCCTAAATTAAATACTTCGTAATTCGTGCGGAAAACAGAGCTACAAGTGCTGCCACCTACTCGCGCATGTCTGAACACAAACGAACCCTGTTTCGACTGAAAGTAAAGTCACTTTTTACGTATTTAGTTTTCGCAATCTTGCTTCACGTTTCTGCCGCGTAAAATATTACCGACGTTTATTTCATATTACGAAAATACATATACTGTCGCCGTGTACGCGAAAACCTGTATCGTAACATAGTCGCGAAAGAGATCCTAAATCTATTTCTGTATTCGTCGAAAGAAGATCCCTCTCATAATATCACAGGTATAGGTACTCGAAGTGTTATCTGTAATCGTGCTCTTACGCAGAAAAGTACATATCGAGCATCTTTAAACATTGTCGTAGCACCATGTCGATGATACGAGTAACTTGTAATCCACGAGATTATCGGGCGCGTATTGAAACGAACGCAAGCGAAATCGTGTCTCCTAGGGCGCTACAAAATCTTTGAGTCGACGATGCGTCCATCCGTTATATTACGTAAAAATCTAAGGTCAAAATTGACACGGAGTCAATCGGTATACCAAATCGATGACAATGTCACGCCATGTAACGTCGTTCGCGATAAGAACGTAAATGTCCCGCGGGCAAGCATACTCACGTATTCAGATCTCTAGCGCTCAACTTTACGAATCGATCTCGCATCGACGCGATGGAATTATCATTGCTTGTCCGGAGGACGAAGCGCCAAGGCCAGAACTTGTTGCATCTGTATCCTCACGTCTAGCTTCTTTTCTTCCGGTACTTGCCGAATGATCGGCAGCAAGGACAGCAGGAACATCTTGTCGTAATCGTCCTCGTCGTAGGCAACGCGTTGGCTACTGTGCGAGGACAGCATGTCGTGTATTTCGTTATCGAAAGAAGCGAAAGGTGTTTCGCAAAGCTGCTTCGGATAACGGGGACACACTTTATAGGATGCGCCCGGTTGAAGATACTCCCTGCTCGTCGTTATGGATGGAGCGGCGTGGGTCAACGGTACGTCGTATTCCTCGATCACCGGATTATCGACCTCGCCCTCGCTTTCCTCGGATTTGCAATTATTTATCGTCGCCCCGACGTTTCTGTAACGTACAGTTGCACCAATGTAGGACCGTTCGAAAACTCTTCGACTATACCAACCGTTTGTTCTCCACTGTTGGCATGAGAAACAACAACTGATCGAAATACATGTATTTCTTTCGCTTTCGACCAGCTGGTCCCAATTTCTGCGACTTCTGAAGTTTCAGTTCTTTCATGAAATAGTCGCGAATGTTTCTCCATTTCCCTCGTAAGTTTTTCTCTGAAAATAACAGACACGAAACACTCTGACATGTCTTCTCAAAATCGGTGTATGGTCGAGCGTAATCACTGCCACTCGGTTCGATTAATTTAATAAATTAATCGTGTAAGAGATAGTTCTCTTCGTCACGAGGAAAAGTTCAAACGAATATTTCAATCTGTGGAAAAAATATACAATCTCTACTCGGGATTATGTAAGCGAACAATCATCGTCGCTTTCATAACTGCTCGATGAAGAGAAACTTGAACTAATTTTAAAGGACTCCGAATACGGTCTTCGCGGACTAGTGCCAGAGTGGAGCAAGTGCAAGTGGAGGAATCCGGATCGATCGATCGCAAGAGGCTGTATACCTTCTATGTTTCTCTCCTCGTCCGTCAAGCGCGCCCAATTCGGTACCATCACCTGGCAGACCTCGTCCCACGCGGTCATCTTGGCGTTACGGTCGTTGTACTCGCTACGATTCACATCGTAAATCGCCGGTCGTTTCTCGATTTCCTCGATAAATTTCTCCGTATCAAACATACTTGTTACGTTACAAGAACCGTCACAATTACCCTCGAGGGTTTCTCGTCGGTCTTTTCTCGACGTTTTTCCTTTCCCCCTTATTTTTTTTTTTTTTTTTTTTTTCAAATTCTACGCGCTATTGGCGGTGAATTACACGTCGGAGGAGAAAGAATTCGAGGTTTCCGTTAACAATGCCGCGTAGAAGGGGGATGGCGAGGTTCGAGTTGAAGCGCCGTCTGTTTTTCAGCGACGCGTACGAGATACGGGATTATCAATTCGGATTAATTCGTGCGCGTAGACGCCACTGGTCGACCGATATACGCAGTCGATGTGTTGCGAATTCGATTAATCGAAATCAGCGGCGAGAATTGCGAACCAAGAACGATCGAGACGAATAACGAACGAATTTTTCGACGGAAACGTGCCTACCGCAAGCGATTCTGTTGCGTA